TCTCAAAAAAAAAAAAAAAAAAAAAAAGTTTTTAGCCATCTCCTGAGCTTTAGGCTCAGGAACTCCCTCATTTCAAGTACCAGGAAAAAGAATGGGCTGGGCACGGTGGCCCATGCCTGTAATCCCAACACTTTGGGAGGCCAAGGTAGGTGGATCACCTGAGCTCAGGAATTCAGTCTGGCCAATGTGGTGAAACCCCGTCTCTACTAAAAATACAAAAATTAGCTGGATATGGTAGCAGGCAACTGTAATCCCAGCTACTGGGGAGGCAGGAGAATTGCTTGAACCTAGGAGGCAGAGGTTGCAGCGAGCCAAGATGGCGCCCCTGCACTCCATCTAGCCTGGGTGTCAGTGTGAGACTCTGTCTCATTTAAAAAAAAACAACAACAACAATATCTTATAATCCCTGCTACTAAAATTAGGAGGTGTTCCTGCATTACTCCATGCCACTTGTGGAGCAACTTTCTCTGTTACTCACAAAGCTTTATCATATGCCTGCCCTTTCCCCTTACTTAGGTTCCCCTTTTAGAATTAAACAGCCCTGGAAAGGGTCCTTCAGAGCAGCAGACCTAGGGCAAGAGCTCAGCAGGACCCTTGTAGACCTTGATGGTGACAACTTATTTGGCTACTCCTCCTGGCTGTTTAACACATGAATGGGAGCTGAGCTCCCCTCTTAGTAGCGTTTGTGTTCATTTCCAGCATGGTGCTTGTTGTCTGACCTCTAACTTCTCCCCGCTTATTCTGTACAGCTGAAATCCTCCCTCCTGCCTACTCCCCAGCTAGCCAGCCTCCAGTCCTGTTGAGTTTATCTCTTCTTCTCTCCTAGTGCCTGTTTAGTTAAGCTGGAAACAGGATTCTTGCTCATCGTCATATTACTTTAAATAAGAATAAAACTAAAGAAGGGGTCTTTGGGCCCCAGGCACACCTGTAATTCCAGCACTTTGGGAGGCCAAGGCAGGCAGATCACTTGAGGTTGGGAGTTTGAGACCAGCCTGACCAACATGGAGAAACCTCATCTCTACTAAAAATATAAAATTAGGCCTGTGTGGTGGTGCATGCCTGTAATCCCAGCTACTCGGGAGGCTGAGGCAGGAGAATTGCTTGAACCTGTGAAGCAGAGGCTGTGGTGAGCCAAGATCGTGCACTCCATCTTGGACGACAGAACAAAATTGCGTCTCAATAAAAATAAATAAATAAATAACCAATTGGGAGAAGCTCAGATGCAGTCATGTCTGAGGCATAGGGGATATGAACAGTTACCCTGCTTGGTGTCTTCAAGCCAGGACTAAGAGGAGAGCAGAAACAGTCAGGCTACTGGCTGCCCTTTCATTCTAGAGACGAGACCTGGCAGAAGTTTCCTAGGTTTCTTAAATTTTCACACCTTCCCCCAGGCTAGTTAGGCGTAGTGGCAGGTGCCTGTAATCCCAGCTCCTTGGAAGGCTGAAGCAGAGAATTTCTTAAACCAGGAGGTAGAGGTTGCAGTGAGCCGAGATCACACCATTGCCCTCCAGCCTGGGTGACAGAGCCAGCGAGACTCTGTCTCAAAAAAAAAAAAAAGAAAAGCCAGTTACAGGCAAAAATTCTCATGTAGCTTAAGGAGCCACAGGTTAAGGAACTGGAGAGGAAACACTCTCAAAGCAGTCCCTAGACAGGCTGCCTTACCTTTTCTCTCTCTCTTCTCCACATCATTTAATCTTTCCTTTTTCACTGGAGTAGATCCCACCCATGAGGGCACAGCAGAAGGCATGGAGAACATGGCAGATGCTGTCACCCATGCTCGTTTTGTGGGCACGGATCCTGCCAGCGATGAAGTTGTCCTGATGAAAATCCTTCAGGTAAGTGAGAGAGAAATAGAAATTAGGCTAGTGGCCAGGAACTGGTGCCGTGGGCTCTATCTACTTACTCTGACCACAGCATGAAGCTGTGTTTTGACTCCACTGGGGCTTAGGGGAACTACTTTGTTTCCAAACAAGCAACTGGGGTACCCAAAGTAAAAGCTTTTCCTAAGGAAAATCATTAAAAGCTTTATATGAAGTGGTATCAAATACCAGAAGCCTTAAATGCACTTGTACCTCTGGCAGACTGTATTTGTGCCATCCATCTGTTGGGCTCATGGACTAGGGCTAGAATGAGTTGTGAACTATGTCAGGGTCATAAAAAGTGAAGAAACAATTCCCAAGACAAGACCCTTGGAGACCTCTCTACCAAGCTGAAGTGAGGTCAGCATTCTTGCTAACCCCTCTCTCTTATCCCCGAGTACCTCTCAGGACCTGTTTATCACAGTAATTCCTTCTTCTTCCTGATAGGTTCTACGGACTCTGCTGCTAACCCCAGTGGGTGCCCACCTAACCAATGAATCTGTGTGTGAGATTATGCAGTCCTGCTTCCGGATCTGCTTTGAAATGAGGCTCAGTGGTAGGTGCTTGGATATTAGCCCCTTCACCATTCCTGGGGCCAGTGTCTGAGTTTGAATACCAGAGCGCTGTCTCTGAACCTCAGAAAGATGGAAAATTCAGGACTCCATCATCTGTCTAATGGAACCATAGGGGTCTAGAAGAAATCTCTGTACTTGACTGTTGTGAAGCTAGAATAGAGACCTCAGCCCATTATGCCAGGGCAGGAGTTGGGATGGATCCCAGACTGACTTAGCCCAGGCACCAAATCACCCTCTCTTGGGGCTTCTGGGATTGACATCAGCCTGCAACCCCCAAGAACACATCGATCCCGCCCCTTTTTTCCCTGACTCAGTAGTGCCACCTAGTGGGCCACTGAAGTTATGCCAGCCAGGCTGAGCTGGAGCTGGTTTTAATAAGTTTGGCATAATCCTTGGTAAACAAGGTTTGGAGGGGAGTCTGCTCTGAGAACCCTCTTGATAATAGCACAGCAAGTAATGACACCTGTGTTATTTGTTTTTGCCTGTGCAGAGTTATTGAGAAAATCCGCAGAGCACACTCTCGTAGACATGGTGCAGCTGCTCTTCACAAGGTAAACCTGCTGCTGTTTGCTTCAGCCCGGCTGCCCAGGCCTCTTGAGTCTGCCTGCTTCCACACAGCCACGTCAGGGACCTGGCCAACCCCATAGCCACATCAGAGGCCACTGGGATTATGGAAGAGGGGTAGCTCCCTGGGTCCAGGGTTACTGAGCAAGGGAGAAGCAAGAGAGAGCTGAGTTGGCCTCAGGGGGAGGCAGAGGGTTATTTAATTTAGGCCAGCAGACCTCATTCTGCTTCACAAATTTGTGTCTGTTTCTGTGCAGGTAGCAGCTGGGAAAGGGAACCCAGAGAGGAAGCCAAATCAAGGGAGCCTGATTTCTGTGGGAGAGGGCCAAGGTTAGGGTGACCAGCAGTTGTGATTTGCCTGGGACTGTACTGATTTCAGCACTAAAAGTTCTGCATCCTGGCAAACCCCATCAGTCCCAGGCAAACCAAGATGGTTGGTTACCCCTAGGTAAGGCCCTCAGCCTAGGGCCTAGGAGGCCTTTTTATACTAGGCCTAACTACCTATTTTTTGCACCTCCTTTCAACAGACTCAAAGAAGAGTTGAGACAATGGCCTTAAACCTTCCCTTGGGATTTCTTTTTCTTTCAAATCTGTAGATAATAATTTTTATTATCTATAGACTAGACTGCCTTTGGACCCTGCTGCAAAGAATTTTTGGCTCCTCAGGCTCAGATTTACTGTTTTCAAAACTTCAAACTGCCTGTTAATTCTTCCCTTTTGCCCAGTCTCCTAGGGTTTTGATAGGCTGCCCTCTCCCCATCTCTTGGCAGCAGTATTTGCCAATTGAATATAAGCAGGAAGGAATCAGTTTCAGAATAAAAAGAGCCTCTACACTCCAAGGGCACTTACTCACCTCACTGTCACAACTACCTCCTTTTGTCCGTGTCACACATCCCCCGATTCCTGTGGCTCTTTGATGAAGCTCTGAAAAGGGTGAAATTAGTCTGCTTCTCTTTTGTAGCTTTTTCTAAG